ACCCGCCGCTGCAGCTGCCTCCGACCCAGCCACACCCGCCGCTGCAGCCACCACTGTCCCAGCCATTACTTCTTTTTCCCAGTGCCACTCCACCAGGGGCAGCCTGTCTCCATATATTCCCTTGAGGACTGGATTGTGACCTGACTCTGAGCCATATCCCTCAACCCATATGGACTGGTTCTACTGACTGCCGTCACCATCATCAGTGTCACTTACATCCTTGTTTCAGTTGTTAAGGGGTGGTAAACATTCCCCAGGAGGGCGTCTCCTAGGTCTTCTGGCCAGAACCATAAAACCTGATCCCTCCTGATCAGTGGGGTGAGGGCCTTGCTTAGAGGTCAATTTAGTAACGGCCTTGCTCACCACGTCTGATACTATGTTTTTAGCCGCAGAGGATAAATGGGGCTTAGCCAGGTAGAACCCTTTCTTCATCAAAGGCATTACAAAACGAAATTGATTTGAAAAGACTGATCAATCCCTCGCCCATACTGCGTAGGAACTCCCATAAAGGCAGAAAGGCCTGACCCAGCCTGGTTATCATAATAACTTACAAATCAATAGGGGTCCGCTTTGTAGAGTGAAGGTGTCATTTTTTTTGCCAGACTCTTGTTCTAAGGCTCTGTGTAAAGCCTGGACCCCTCCGTAACTACCAGGGTGAGCTGGATCGTAGTAAATTCTCTTCATTAAAGACACAGTCAAGATGACAACAGTGCTACAGTATAGTGCATAATATTTTTACTGCTGTGCTCTCACTGACACCTCTCCCTCTCCTCATTCACTGTCCATCTCACTCCACCACTGCTGTGCTCGCTTTACCACCTCTCTCTGCGTGACATATATTTCAGGCAGGCAATGCAATTTTGGCCTAAACATAAAAAGAATGTAAATGTGGCTAGCTAGTGCAAAGTATATTTTGAGCAGCTACAGAGAAGATAGTCTACAATCTAGCAGCGTGAGCTAATGCAGAATGGATGGAAACTGGGCCAACGAAGAAATCAAAGGACGTTAATCCTCTGTGCAGAGGAATAACACTGTGTCACGTGGTTTCGGATATTGTGTGAATGCTGTGGCTGTGCCCAGCCAGGTCCTGCTGTCTGAACAAAGTCTGGCCAGGAGTTTTTAACACAACAGCTCTGTGTCTGAATGCCAAAAAACTACTGCTACACAGCTGCATATAGCCTGCAAATCCCTGGGTACCATGTGTGAAAGGTCCTTTAATTGTGTGATTTATATTAAACATCACACTGATCATGGGTTTACTTGGTGTCGACTGTTTTACACACAAAACATGTGACAATTCTACAGTGTTTAAAAATAAGCAAAGCCACAGAATAAGACAATGTTATAAGGCCTGAATATTCCGATCAATTTAAAAAGACTGCAATGTTTTTATAGCCCAAATCATTATTCACAAACTTGCTCGTCCTCTTCTTCTTTTCTTCTTCTATTTTCTATATAAAACCCCATTTCCAAAAAAGTTGAGATGTTGTGTAAATTGTAAATAAAAATAGAATAGAATAGTTTGAAAACAGGTTTTACTGCATTCTCATTTGTTAAGAGTACAGAGATAAAATATCTATTGTTCACATTAATATATTTTGGTTTATACAAGCTTATTATGAATGTGAGGCAGCAGCATGTTCCAAAAAGTTGAGACAAGTTACATAATGTAACATAAAATGTTATAAGATGTTATAAAGGTTACATAAACACCACAGCTACTGAATTTAATTTGCACCAGGTCAGTGTCGTGACTGGGCATAAAAAGAGCATCCCAGCAAGGCTGAGTCTTTCAGCAGTAAGGATGGGGTGAGGTTCACCACTCTGTGTAGCAAATAGTTCAACAATGTAAGAATAAAAACATAAGATTGCTGAGAACCAGCAGTGACTGGCTGTGATCTTCAGGCCCTCAGGCGGCACTGCATTAAAAACAGACAGAATTCTGTTGTGGAAGTCACAGCATGGCCTCAGGTCGACCTCTGAAAACCACTGTCAGTGAATATGCTTCACCTCTGACTGCATCCACAAATACACCTTACAACTTAAAACTAAAGTTAAAACCATGCAAATGTTAGAAAAAACCCAATTCTTTTAGTGCCATATTTAGTGCCATTGTAAATTAGACAAACATGTACAGTGCCTTGCGAAAGTATTCGGCCCCCTTGAACTTTGCAACCTTTTGCCACATTTCAGGCTTCAAACATAAAGATATAAAACTGTAATTTTTTGTGAAGAATCAACAACAAGTGGGACACAATCATGAAGTGGAACAAAATTTATTGGATATTTCAAACTTTTCTAACAAATAAAAAACTGAAAAATTGGGCGTGCAAAATTATTCAAATCCACATAAGGGATGACGGCAACATTCATAGATCCTGGAATGCACAATGAGGGGCAATGTTCATTCCTATTACAGAGGCCCACTGAAATTTTTTTGAGGAAAAGCTGTGTTAGACTGCATATTGTTTATAGTAAAGTATTTTTATATACAAATATAAAAATGAAAATGTTTCTGGAGTGGGACTTTAATTAATTATAGAAGTTGTGCAGAAGCTGCCCATAGCTCTACACAGTGATCCATGTGTGTACTGTATGTGTTTCTATGCTGCTCCAAATGAGTCTGTTCTGGTTCAACTTGTCTTATTAAATGAGCTTAAAAATAAAGTGACACCTTAGTTATAAAACACTGAGCAGGCTGTAACACACAAGAGTGTGTGTGTCGTTTAAAGTTTGCCACAAGCCACCTGGGAGACACACCAAACATGTGGAAGAAGGTGCTCTGGTCAGCTGAAACCAAAATCGAACTTTTTGGCAACAATGCAAAATGTTATGTTTGGCGTAAAAGCAACACAGCTCATCACCCTGAACACTCCATCCCCACTGTCAAACATGGTGGTGGCAGCATCATGGTTTGGGCCTGCTTTTCTTTAGCAGGGACAGGGAAGATGGTTAAACTTGATGGGAAGATGGATGGAGCCAAATACAGGACCATTCTGGAAGGAAACCTGATGGAGTCTGCAAAAGACCTGAGACTGGGACTGCGATTTGTCTTCCAACAAGACAATGATCCAAAACATAAAGCAAAATCTACAATGGAATGGTTCACAACTAAACATATCCAGGTGTTAGAATGGCCAAGTCAAAGTCCAGACCTGAATCCAATCGAGAATCTGTGGAACGAACTGAAAACTGCTGTTCACAAACGCTCTCCATCCAATCTCACTGAGCTCGAGCTGTTTTGCACGGAGGAATGGGCAAAAATTTCAGTCTCTTGATGTGCAAAACTGATAGAGACATACCCCAAGCGACTTACAGCTGTAATCGCAGCAAAAGGTGGCGCTACAAAGTATTAACTTAAGGGGGCTGAATAATTTTGCACGCCCAATTTTTCAGTTTTTTATTTGTTAAAAAAGTTTGAAATATCCAATAAATTTCGTTCCACTTCATGATTGTGTCCCACTTGTTGTTGATTCTTCACAAAAAATTACAGTTTTATATCTTTATGTTTGAAACCTGAAATGTGGCAAAAGGTCGCAAAGTTCAAGGGGGCCGAATACTTTCGCAAGGCACTGTATTAACAAATTTGGTGAATGGCACAGCGCCCAATGTGAGGACCCAGCCAAGAAGCTTCTACACAGAGATTCTGCACACTTGGCTGTTGAGGATATCCCAGTCAAATCACTTGTTTTAGACACCAAAATTGCAATGCCGTAATTCTATAATCCCAAACAGTTATTCCAATGCCCCCAAGACAGAACTATTTGAGAGCTGTATGAGTACAGGAATTCTCAAACAGGACGCTGCTTGATACGCTGTTTCTCAAGACAGTCGAAAATCTCGTTCAAGTAGGAAAACCACCCCACAGTAATGTGAAAAAAATGTGAAAAACAATAAACATGTCCCTGTGTCCTTATTAATAATTTTAACTGTGGCCAAACGTCACTATTCAGTGACTTCGTTTACAACAACGCTCTTTTAGCGGCATCAGGTCTATTCTTTAGTCCTGGCAACACTCTGTTAGCGGCAATGCTCTGTTAGCGGCATCGGGTTCAGTCCCAGAACAAATGGGTATCAAATGTCCTACTAAATTTGGAAGACAACCCTCAGTGGTTAATCATTCATGTGATGAATTTTACGTCTTTTATGAGACCAAATGATCTAATGCTAGGACACTCATTTACTTTCCCTCATGTGAGATATATGAGATTATAACTTTACATGTGACCAGACTTCAAACAAAAGACAAAACACTTTACTTATCTTTAGAACAATTAACCAATTGGGGAAGATCTTTAAAGGCAATTGGACCAGTTCAATCCAGAACGTAACTGGCTATTTGACCGAGTCTGACCCGATACAGCTGCACTTTGTTGGCTGCACAACACAAGGATTTGTTCAGACATGATGCCTAGACATGAAATAGCCAGCAAACTCCTGGGGAGAGGTGGGTATGTGAAAGTGGCTTAACATACGAACAATATACAAAGTTCTGATAAAAACCACATCCATGCATCTAACACTGGACTGAGTCTAGCACATGCAAAGTTTGCAGAAGACTATCAAAACACAATGGATATACAGATATATATTTTCTCTAACTGTGGATAAAAAATAAAGAGCAGGCACAAACTGCAAAGTTTGCAGAAGACTATCAAAACACAATGGATATACAGATATATACTTTCTCTAACTGTGGATAAAAAATAAAGAGCAGGCACAAACAGTATCAAAGCTTCACAGCAAAAGGCCGAGCTGGTGTGTGCACTGTGCTCTTATAGCAAAGAGATTACATTACATAGGCAAACACAGCACTAGACAAATGATATAAATACACAAAGAGAAGTAGAGATTAATATATGTTGCCTGTATAAAATATAAATATTATGTCTGCTCATTTCATATGGTTTACATAAAAATTACACTACAAGTTTTTGTGGCCATGGTGACGACAATGTTAAGACTTTTTTGATGTCACATTTCTACATCTCTAATTGCAGAACATGGTGGAATAAAATCTCAAAGCTAGTTCCAGTTCAGTATATGTAGCCAGAGGACAGTTCTTACATCCTCTACGCTTTGGACTCCCATTCTGTTGGACTGGTCCAGCTCTGCTCTATCACTGGTCCAGATCATTGCTGTTGCAGCTACTTGGCCGATAGTGGTGCTGGCAAAACTCCCTGATCCGGCCACAAGCCTCCACCATCATCTCCTCCGTCACCGTCACCACGATGCGGAAGAAGTTAGGATATTCAAACGCCTGGAGGATGACGGAACATTGATGCTCTTACTGTAGGCGTTAATACAATTAAACACGTTTTTCAGTTTTGCTCTACATTTGTAGACAGCTGAATGACAAGCAGTTACAGGAAAAAGGATGAGGTCTTACCGAGGCAGGCAGACAGAAGACAGACTGCTCAGTCACCAGCCATTCGGTAAAGTCCACGTCATTCTTAAAATCTGGAAAGTGATCCATGTCGATTCCCACCTGGACAAATGTGGACGCACAAAAATGAAAAGCTCCAATTCATATTCAATCCTCAAATATATTATAAACTACTATATAATGAACGAGGAAAAACAGATTCAAGTGTGTAGTTAGGCGGGATTAGAACCTGAATATGAAACATCTTCCTTGAATTCAATAGTTTCTCATTTTTATTTATAAATATGGCTCAAGTTTGAGACAGTGTGATGTTCCAGCTGAAAATTAACAGGATATCTTTTTGTATATTTTGTCATTTATAGTCTAATTTGGACATTTTACATTAGAGCTGGCAAACACTCCTTGAGACCTTTGTCAAAAACATCATTAATTATTCCCATATATGCTTCTTCTTCTTTCGGCTGTTCCTGTTAGGGGTCGCCACAGCGAATCATCTGTCTCCACCTAACTCTATCCTCGGCATCCTCTACTCTCACCCCAATTAACTTCATGTCCTCTTTTAGCACATCCATATATCTCCTCTTTGGCCTTCCTCTTGACCTCTTGCCTGGCAGCTCCATCTCCAACATCCTTCTACCAATATAACCACTATCCCTCCTCTGCACATGTCCAAACCATCTCAATCTGGCCTCTCTGACCTTGTCCCCAAAACAGCCGACCTGAGCTGTCCCTCTGATGTGCTCATTCCTAATCCTGTCCATCCTGGTCACTCCTAAAGAGAACCTCAACATCCTCATCTCTGCTACCTCCATCTCTGCCTCTTGTCTTTTCCTCACTGCTACAGTCTCTAACCCATACAGCATAGCTGGTCTCACTACTGTCTTGTACACCTTTCCTTGGATTCTTGCTGACACTCTTCTGTCACACAACACTCCTGACACCTTTCTCCACCCACTCCAACCCGCCTGCACTCGCCTCTTCCCCTCTTTCCTACACTCCCCATCACACTGGACAGTTGACCCCAAATACTTCTGCACCTTCTTGACCTCAGCCCCCTGTAACCTCACTGTTCCACTTCCCTCCCTCTCGTTCATACACATGTATTCTGTCTTACTACGACTGACTTTCATTCCTCTTTATTCCCATATATGCAAATATAGATATACATACAGTATACACACAGTAGAAGCTACTGCACAAGAGTGCATGGTTATTTATTGGAATCGGTCAAAGAGAGTCTGACTTTATCCCCCATGGATATATGTCCTAACTGCAAATACCTAGAAAATATTCCCTCCTCATAGACTGTGCATAGTGCACCATAACATCTAGGGGCTCACAAGAAACAGGTTTTAAAAAAGAAAAGTTAAAACCAAAGCCAAGGTTAAGATTTCCTGACTTTTAGTATGAAGTGCAGGTCAACAGCATCTTTTCTTAGAACTTCCCTGCCTAGAAAATGTCCATGTTCCCAGACTGTAGGGCAGGATTTCTGGTAAAAAGAAAGAAGTAGTCTCTTCTAGATCTGACCATGAGATACATTGCTCCTGAAGGCATCACAGGGTTCAGGCCGGGGACGCTGGACAGCGCTTTGAAGCAAATCTCTGAGTTGGACTGAAGAGAAACAGATCATCCAGTCAATCTTAGGTGGTACATATACGTAAGGTAAGACAGAATATAAAAAATAAAACAAGTCAAAGGTATTAAAAACTTAGTAAATGAGAGACGAAGTCACACTATGAAATAAAATTTGTTTGGTCACATAAACCTAAAGAGATTACGTGTAAGTGTTTTATTGTTCAGACATTCATTTCTACAAGTCCATTACCAGTCAAACATTTCCCACTGAAATCAATGGGAAACTGGGTCCAAACTTTTCACTGGTGTTGTCTGTTGGGCAGTTTATTTTGCAGAATACACACCCCAACATATTTGAACCAGGATATTAGAAAATATATCATCCTCCAAAATGTAATACCATCAAAAATAGAAGATTCTGCTGCTGAGCACAAATAACAGCCAGGTAGCAGCAGTCAGCTGGCCGCCTCCTGTGTCCAGGGTGTCGTTTAAGTTCCAATAAAATATAGATATGGTGAGAATATACGTTGTATATGAAAGATATTAGTTCTAATTCATCGTTCCCAGGTCTACCTTCAGGAAACTGATGGTGCTGTTGTAGAAGCTCTGAGGTGTGTTATTGAGGATGCTCTCCAGCGCCCCCTGGACAATGGTGCATGCTCCCAGAATGCGCTGACTCAGTTTCACCAAACCCTGTCGAATCTACAGAGGAGGTATACCACATGTGTCAGTGAGGTACATATAAGAGCAACATATTGTGTTTTTGTGTGCATCCTGTTCCATGTACCTCAGATCCAAATATATCATTCCTGTCATGGATGAGGAGCCATCCCATCCTCCAACCAGGGACCAGCCAGCATTTAGCCAAGCCACCGCAGGAAAGGATGGGAACATCACTGCTGATAGATGCCATGGAAGGACAGTGGAACCCAGGGAAAACCTAAACACAGGAGCAGGAACAAAATGACTAAATTAGAGTCACTGGTCTCGAGTAAGAGTGAGCTCAATGTTAATGCTAATTTACAAAACTCATGCTCAGAAGAAGGCCGTATTTTAAACATGTAAAGTCAAGTACACTGTTTGTTTGGCACTATTTAAACTGTGAGCAGATGAGACAACTAAACAGTTGTTACTCCTACAAGCCACAACTTGGTCAAAGCTCATGACCTCTAGGAGGAATTTTTCACACAAGCAGTCAATATCAAATAAGTACGTTGAAGTGCACGACGCCCATGTTTACAATCAACACAACCACATCTGCAGGCACTAATGCACCTTAGCTAAAACAGGCTTCATGGCAGTGCTTAATGCACACTGTGTTGAGCACCAGTAGGACAGCAATAAAAATCTTTATCCATAAATATTGTATTTGTATAATGCATATTCAACACAAATAACATAAACATCATTTGACTTGTAAACAGCAAACAAGATAAAGTACTTGTAAAAAAGCAGAATCACTGATGATTTTATTCCATATTCCATCATTTAGAGCCAGGTTTCTGACCACATGATGGATTTAACTCCTGTGTTCACTCTGTTTTGGTCTCCAACAGCTCATGTGAGATATCTGGCTGCTAAACGCTGCACTGTTGTATGTTCATCAGCTCCTGTATCACTAACGCTGTTTGTCTGCTGTGGCACAGTGGGTTTATGAGAACTACTGCCTGCTGCCAAAAGTGATTAGACGCTCCATGAAACTGAGGGGAACTATACTCAGCCAATGATTTGTCACTATGGTGGCTATATTCACAATGCATGTGGCCATTTGCCGCATCATTAATGTAAAACTGACTCATTTGGCTTCACAACTACAGATAACCTGATCTCTGTTTGAGCATATCACTTATTTTTCATTAGTTATGACACAGATATCAGGCCTCAAACTTTACTGTTTCAGTACCTGAAGTTTGTTATTCATGCAGAACAATCACAGACATTTCTTTTTATCTCTCTGCAGAAAGCTGGTTCACATTAAAGCATGAAAGTATCACTGACACTAAGGGGGGAGCCACCCCACGTCCTATTGGACAGACTGCTGTAAATTACATAACAGCATGTTTAAAATGTGCCAGTACAGCCCTGTAGTTTACAGCACTTTTCTGGCTTGTGGTTATCTGAACTCACTTGACACACACCGACTTCCTCGCCCTTCCCCTGTGTGAAATCAAATGTGATTTAAGTCAGAGTTAGATTAAACTAAACCTTTATAATCAGTTTGGAAAGGGTCTGTGAGATGTGCACTGGATGCAAATGAAAACGGAGCAAACTCAGAGAGGTTCATAAATATTTCAGGACCGGCCACAAATGTCAGATTTAAAGGTGTGAAAACAGAAAACTCTTCATTCTACATGTTTACTCTCATTGAAACATCCACATAGAAAGTAGCTACAGGCTGTGCAGGTTGGTTGTAACGACTGAATTTACTCCTGAGCATCACATGAAGGAGAGGGACGGGGTAATGCCACTGACTAAGTTCAGTTCACAGATATCCTGTTGCCTCCAAACACTCGAGTCATAAAAGCAAGGCCACATCATCACACGCCCGGCCCAGCTCTCCTCCCACCAGATGCCCCCCATCCCTCCCCAGTGTCTGCTGCTCCAAAACCTGAAGTCTGCATTAACGGCAAACACGTGTAACCAAACAAAGTGCAGAGTTATTCTGGTGTGCTTGTGTTCAATGTAAAATGGCCAGATGGTGGTGGTGGGGTGGGTGGGGTTTGGATGCACTCGATAACCCTGACGCTAAAACGTTTAATCACAATAGCTTCTACAGCGTAATTAAAAAGATTTAGAATTCATTTTTCTTTGTGCAACTCATGGAAAGCTGCTTTTGTTTTCTGTGGCTGAAAGGCTGTCTGGTTGTGCAGCTGCACTCTTTTCAGCTCCTTCTCTAACTGTTTTGTTGTATCTCCCCATTTATATGTCCGGGACAATTCCTCAGTTGACGCTGCTGATAAATAAAATGTGGTATCTTCTGGATAAGTAACTGTTCTTGTTTGATTTGGGGCGAGAGGGAGGTGTAAATACCAGGGATACAACTTTTATTGCGTTTGCATCGTGTTTTGTACTTTTTTACGAGCTTTTGAGTCTGCCTCGAGGGGGCCCTTGTGTCGCGGCCCCGACTGTTTGCTCTGCTTGCCAACAGTTGGCTTCCTTGTTGTGAGTTGCCGGGGATTCCCATGAGGATGCAACGAGAGGGGCGAGTCTGCAGAACTGGAGCAAAGCGCTGGGAGAGGTGCTGGAGTGAGGCGCTGGTGGACAAGATGGACGAGCTGGCCGCGCTGGCGGAGCTGCAGCGGGTGTACAGGAGTAGAGGCCCTGCACGCGCTTCACCAGGACTCCAGGATCTGTGGTCCGTGGTGACGGTTCTCCACTGATCCCCGAGCCAGCTCTGCTGCTGCATGCAGGCGCACAGTGTCTCGGCGGACACAGCACCCGCAGGCCCTAATCCTTATCTCGGGAACCTCGACCATGCCATGCCTCCCTCCCCCTCTCTGTCACCCTCCTACACAAAGAACAATAAAAGTCTGGACCATATGCTAATGCTAGGAATGCGTACACTTCCGCCCCTCCCCCTCTGACCACAGATTGCTCAGTGTTGCCAAGTCCTCAGTAAGGAAAGTAGCTATTGGCTGTCCTAAAAGTCGCTAGAAGTCGCTAAATGACGTCATCGCCTAATTCACATAAAATTCCATTTGCATGTAATTGTAATGGACACTGTAGGAGAGAGGAATAACGTCATGGGAGAGACAAAAAGTAAGTAAAAACACCCTAAATATGTTTAGTACTACAAATGAACTTTCTTCTGTTGATTCTTGGTTTGCTTGTGTAGCCGAGCATTTACGTGGGCTCAACTAGACGTGTATAAAATAATAAAACGACAAAGTTCAGGTCTGAATTTCTCCGTTACTTTATTTGCACTACTCACTCCAAAACTGACACTCCCATCTCTCTCTCCCCATGTCCCCTTTCTACCCAAGTATGGCAAGCCCCAAAGGACAAAAGGATATAAGGTATACTACACACATAAACAGAGCACCAGCACATTCACACCGGGGAGACATAACACTAAACAGTCTGTTACACACATCCCCTCCCCACTAATAAACGTCCCCGTTTATTACCCGACATGCTACACAACAAAACAAAACAAAAAATCACCCTCTGAACTCTTAAACGTGAACCGTATGGGAGATTAAACACAAATGAACACTGTCCCATACACAGAGGCAAAGTCAAACTAAAGCATCACAAAATCCCTCAAATGGCCAGGAGGTCTACAAGCTCTCCCAGTTCTACTAACAC